CCCCAAACCCCCAAAACCCCAAAACCCCAAAACCCCATCAAGGAATCCTCAAAGCTTAATTATTTATTAATATTTTATCAAGATGAGGAGTCTTCGAGATGAAGAGGAATTTGAAGAGAACCTCAGTTCAGATGTTAGTTCTCAGTGAGAGAGAATCAGTTTTGGAGATGCTAGGATATTGCCGCGTCAGAAACTATTGCCTTTTGAGTCTCCAAGATACTCTGAAAGTAAGCTTATAGATAATGTTTACCCAAACCCAAGATAGAATGTTATTTTGTTTGGAATATAATATGAGTCATTCGAGAATTATCATAATTATAGATGAATCTCAGGTAGAGGCTCAGAATGAGGATGATGGTTTGGACAAATGGCCTCCAGACTTTGAAATTGCTGAGGATCATAAGATAATGAACCTTGCTGTTACTCATGATGTTGAAGAAATCCAAAATGATCCTGAAGTTAGCAATGATAAAATCTACTGTAAATGATGTGGGAGGATTCAAAAGAAGTATGTTAGCATGCTTCCTTTGAATTGTGATATTCTGGATCTTGACTTTTTAGGAATAGGGTTTCCTTTATATTACCATTTAAAATTGTTCACTATCAGCTGCTTCGTTTTTATTTTTATTGTTGCAGGGCTACCTTGCTTTATTATCAATCTAAATCAAGACGGAAGGAGAGAGTGGGATCCAAACTCATCTTATATTGTTTCAACTTCAATTGGAAACTTTGGAAATGACCCTGATAGCTACGCAAAAAGTATAATTATTTTACAAATCTGTTTGAATATAGTTTGAATCATGTTTATTTTTATTAGCAGTATCTTTATGAGAGATTACCAGAACTGAATGATAAGAGAATTCGATGAGAAGAATATTACTCCTTCCGACTTTGGAATTATGATTAGCAATATTCCTAAACACAAAAAGGAGCATCAAGTTAGACAGTGGATTAAAGATCATTTTGAAAATGATGCTGAGATTGTCACTGTGAATTATTGATATGATATTACCTCTCTTGTCAAGATTACCAGAAAGTTGACCACTCTTCAGAATGTTTATGTTTATTTGGTTGCATATCAGAAGAGAATGCTTGAGGAAGAAAGAATGGAGCTTATACCAAGAGGCAATAAACAAATTCCACAAAGTTCAAAAGTATGCCTTTGTATTTCAAAGCCATATCCTTCTAAAGAAATTTGAGAAGAAGAGATTAAGAAAGCAGAAGCCGAGCAAGATAGGGAAATAAATTTCATGAAGCTGAGAGCAGACTACCAATCCTTTTGTGGCAAAGGGTTTGTTATTTTTAACAATCAAAGTGAAGCACGACAAATTGTAAAGCAATTTCAAACTTCTCTGTTTCAGAGAGCTCTTAATTTTGTCGTTCACAATATTTTGGGTAAGAAAACTTCCAACATAATAAAAAGAAGTTGGGATCATAACCTCCTTTATGTTGAGAGAGCCCCTGAGCCTGGGGATATATATTGGGAGAATCTAGGAGTTTCTACGAAGAAGAGACTCAAAAAGATTCTATGGACATATTTTATAGCTGCCATTTGTCTTGCAATAGCGTTTGGATTAAATTATGGGATTAGAAAGATCAAGAAGATTATTAATACTCAAGGAAAAGAAGGCACTCTGGACGATTATATTATTAGAAGTCTTTCCATTGTTGGATCTCTTGTTGTAGCTGCTATTAATACTATCTTGGGAAGAGTGATCAGAGCCCTAACATCTTACGAGAAGCATGAGACTTATACTAAGTATCATATTTCTGTATCATTTAAGTTAACTATCGCAATGTTTATTAATACTGTCATCATTCCTTTAATTGTCAATTTTGGAAGAGCTAATTGGTTTGACTCAGGAAGTCTCATGGTTGATATCTTTTACATCTCAATTACTATCAGCTTCATAAGCCCATTTTCATACCTTCTGGATCCAATGTATCTTATGAGGTTATGGAAGATAAGGATAGAGAAGAGGAAAGGATATGACTCCAAATTAACTCAAAGGCAGGCAAACAAATTATTTCAAGGACCTCCTCTTGATATGGCTCAAAGATATTCGAGCACAATGCTCTTATTTTGTATTGCTGTGTTTTATGTGTTTCCTCTCCCTATTATATCCTTGATCTCACTCCTTGGAGCAATATTTCAATACTTCTTGGAGAAGTTTTTACTTTTACGAAGACATTCTATTCCTGAACCAATTTCAGCTCCAATTTGTATAGTGTTTAGCAATATGGTTCCATTTTTCTGTCTTCTGTACGGCTCCTCTCTCTACATGTTTAGTGCTGCTCTTTCTGAAGGAAAAGAAAAGAGTGGAATTGTAGCTCTTGGTCTTACTATTTTGGCAATACTGATCCCTTTCCGGAAAATTCTTGATAGTTGCAAGAAAGAGGCTTACAGAAGCGATACTTATCATTATAAAGAAGAAGCTTTACACTTCCCAACTGATTACGAAAGAACCAATCCAACCACTGCTAAAGTCGGTCAAATCAAACATTTGAGAAGAAGACAAGCTGCAGGTCTTGAAAGAGGTATAGACATTGAGGAGTACAAACAAGAGAGGAGTATTGAAGGCGTATTACATTATGGAAGATAAGCTACTAGTCTTGAAGGAAAAGTTTATAACCATTACCAACAGCCTGAGATGGTTATTGGTCCTTTAGCTTCAGAAGGACTTTACAGAAGATATGGAACTTCAAGATTTAGGAAAGAAATAAATCACCCTTTAAATAGGCATGCCAGAAATAAGCTCACTCAGAGTGATGAGTGTAACATTGCAATTAGTGATATTGATATGTTCGAGAAACCTCAAGAGAATTCTCCTAAAACCCCTCAAAGAGGTTTGCAATTTGGAAGAGAAAAGAAATAATTTCAGAAGACGATGCAACTAAATATCTTTACCAGACAGAGAAGATACACCTAACCGAGAGTGTGCAATTCCTCTTAAAGAAACAGAATATATTGTTGCGTCAATGATATTTATTGAAGTTCCAGTTTCATAGCTTCTAGTATAGTTGAAAGTTATAGCTGCTTCATTTGATATTAGAGGAATTAGATACAACAGATATAGTCACTGAATACTCAGATTGGCAGAATTATAGATTTAGCTTTATGCAACTGGCACAAAAATACCATAGCAACTTTTCTTGTATCCTCAAACAGAGTTGGAACAATTACTTTTCGGTTATAGAATGTGCTTTTAAACACATACTTCAAAGCATAAAAAATGTGTGATTATATCTCGCCACATTTGGAGTCATAAATCGTTAAGAATTCTAATTTTCTCTTTAACAAATTAGAATCTGTCTTATTCATATATTCAACCTACAGATTCATCAATCTAGATGTTGAATTTATATTCGGTAGCTTGATATCTCTATGAGAAGCCATCAAGGCTAACTGGAATTCATTCATATTATTGCTGGTCCTAGAAGCAAACATTAGTTCCATGAGAAATTTCAATAATTTCCATGAAATAAGAGGTTGAATTTAATTATTGTTCTTCTTAGAGGAAATGCCATTAAATATTGTTTGTCTTGAATTTTTCTTTTGCCCTTAGAATTTTAACATCATAGATATCATTATGAGTTATTCTTACAGGCTCTGACAGAAATCTCCATTTAGCTCCTAATTTCTCTCTGTTTTCAGGGCAAGTGTTGATTACAGTCAAAATAATATTTCAACTCGATATTAATATTATGGGGTTTTGGGGTTTTGGGGTTTTGGGGTTTTGGGG